GAGAGAGAGAGAGAGAGAGAGAGAGAGAGAGAGAGAGAGAGAGAGAGAGAGAGATGCAATTTGACCAAATCCTGTCTTTGGAAATGAGGCATGCACATCGAGGAGTGTTGCACATGAACTCACTGCTGGGCATGACTGAAGTCAAGATTCAAGAGACCATTCTTGCACAAACCTGCTTCCGACGTGGACCTGAATCCTCGCCCATTCTCAAGAGGAGGAGGGGGGGGAGGGGGTTGGTTCTGCGATTAAGGGAACCGCAAGGGAGGGGGTCGCTTACGAGGGGTTGATAGGGAGGCACATGAGGGGGAGGAGGGGGCGGGCGGGGGGGAAGGGGGTTGCTTTGCCGTTATGTGATGTCCCCTTGCTACATGGAGTGTCCGCAGCAAGGGGGGATGGCGCAGTTTTGCTCTGACATAAGACAACAATTTAATCTCCAACTATGATTGGAATCTCTTGATTTGATGAAACACAGGCTAGGGCAGGGCGAAAGGGCGGGCAAGGGTGGGGGTTATCGCTTGCGGGTCGCTGAATCTAATTGGCAATGTGACACTGGGACTCAAGTGGGAGGTCAAGCTTGGGACTCGGGACAAGCAAGTTGGAACGCAAGTCACCTGGTCGAGCTTGGGACTCGGGACTCGGGACTCATGTAGGGAATGTGAGTGGGGAGGGTGCAAGTGCGGGAAATTTCAGTGCACGACTGCAGCTGCGATACAAAGCAAGGAGAGTCAGGCAGAGGACTCAAGTTAGGGACTCAGGACACTTGAGTACGAACTCAAGTCATGGAAGGGACAAGAAATCGGTCAGTAACCTTGAGTTGAAGCTCAGTTCAGGGAAGTGAATCGAACAGAGCAGTGAAGCTGGCAACACAGGAAGCTTGAGTACGAACTCAACTCCAGGGAACAGGGAAGGGAAGAGAAGAGGGCTCCATCGGGGGACTCGGGACCTTGAGTACGAACTCAACTCAGGGGACGGAATTGGGATGAGCACTGACGTTGGAGACATAGGAAGCTTGAGTACGAACTCAACTCAGGGGATTCAGTTTGGGCACCCAGGAAGCTCAAGCGGGAATGCAAGTTTGTCTTCCTTGAGTGGGCGAGTTGAGCGCCTCAGGTTCGGGCATTGATCAACTCTAGCAAAGGGACTTGCATGCGGGCTTGAGTGGGGAGTTGAGCGAGGGGACTGAAATGGGGAGGGCTTCAGGGATTCAGTTTGGGCACCTACGAAGCTCAAGAGGGGAATTGAACTGCGCCTTCCTCGAGTGGGGCTAGCGCCTCGAGGTCGAAAATGGATCGACTCGAGCAAAAGGGGGACTTGCGTGCGGGCTTGAGTGGGAAATTGAGCAAGGGACTGAAATTTGGGGAGGAGGGGGCATGAGTGGGAACTCGAGCAAGGAGCTCGAATTCGGGGGTTGCTAGAGTCGGGAGTTGAGCGAGGGACTCAAATGGGGGAGGGCGGCGGCGGGCAGGGAGGGGTGGGGTGTCGAATGGGGGGTGAAGTTGGTGGCAGCGGGATGTTGTGAAATTCGGTCATAGGGAAAGATTGCCACATTAAACTGGATCAAATGAACTTTTTGACGGAAGTGATTTTTACTACAGTGAAGTTGTGGACTGTGGACTAGAATGTGCAGAGAGAGGGCCTCGCTACACTACACTACACAACATTCTACATGTATCGGGTGCCCGTCCTCATGGTCCCAATACATCCAAAATTGGATTTGTCCGAATGCATCTGGCCCACGATTCAGTCGAGATACATGTAGAAACTTGTGTAGTGCAGCGATGCAGATGATTACATAGTGTCACTTTGTGCTGGGTGAAACCTTGAACTTGCTAGACAGTCGTCTTCACCTTATGGTCGTCTGGCAGGCGCTTCTTTGGGACTGTAGCATGCATGAACCGAGTCAAAGAGGGGGTCCAGATGCAGCTCAGTATATCTTTCAGCACCTGGACATGTACTTGTTGTGTATGCTGCTCTTGCTATACGATTGACCCACATCACATGCCACACGAGGTCGCCATGAAGAAGACGAAGACTGGCCTGCTCAACGGCCACGGGGGTGGGTGCTAATTAGGAGTTTTGGCTATGGTGGTTGCCATACACACACCGCCATGTAGCTAGCCATGAGCATGGCTATGGTGGGGGTGTCATAGGAACTCATATCCAGGTGGCTGGATATGAACACAGCCATCTGGTTATGGTGAAGGGCGCAGCTATGTATGGAGGCATATTTCATGAATTGCTTTTCGCTTGTGCTGCTTTGTGCAAGTTTGCAGCCCTTTTTTTTTTCCATAGTGACTTTTGATGTGCAGTGTCTAACATTGATAGCCTTTTTACTTAACGGCTTTTCTTCCGTTTTTTTTTTTTTCGCCAGCCGGCTGCAGAAGGGGGGAGGCTCGCTTCTTGCTTCCCAGTCTGGGCTATACAAGGATGAGTAAGAGGTAAGGGGGTTTACACTGCCCCCTGTTTGGTGGCTAGGCAGGCATGGTTCTCCACATTGGACTGAGAGAGGTGGTTGGGGGGGGGGGGGGGGGGNGGGGGGTGTTCTTCTTTCATCTTGGTCTTCTTCTTGTCCTTTCGTCTTCTTCCGTCGTCTTCTTTCTTCTTCTTCTTCTTCTTCTTCTTCTTCTTCTTCTTCTTCTTCTTCTTCTTCTTCTTCGCCTCACTGCAGCAGGAGAAAGAGGAGGAGGAGGAGGAGGAGGAGGAGGATACTCAGTTTGCAGATATGCCAATGGTGCTGATTTAGCCCAGGGGCATTTTTGAAACACAGTTGACAGATTGGAGTTGCAGCATGTACAGGAGATAATTTTTTTTTTTTTTTTTTTTTTTACCTTTTTTAAAGGTTCTTTTCCTTTTCGTTATGATTTCCTCCCCCCACCCACCCTTTGCCAGTTAAGGATGAGAAGGAGAAGGGGGCATTATGCAGGGGGTGAATGAAGAGAGAGGATATCGAGGGACGTAAAGAAGGAAGCGTTCATTGGCAACACAGCAGCATTGGTGGCTGCGGCACAAATTCTTGGACGGGCATCGTGATGCTAACGCGCTCGCAGTACACTGGCTTACACATCGCATGCGTAATCAGAACGTCAGGGGGGGAAGGGGGGGGGGGGGGGGGGGGGGGGGTGCATTTCTGGTTGTTGGAGGGACTGTGATTTTTTTATGTGGGGCATCGTTCGGGGTTGTCAAGTGAGTTCTCATAATCAGGAAAGTTGAGGGGGGTTATGATTCGGGAATTTTGGGCGGTTGAGATTTTATGTGGGGTATCATTTATTTGGGGTTGGGGGGTAGAAGTAATTGATTGAAAGCCAAGAGGCTAGCCAGTACATCCGACCCTCTTTTTGCTGAGGCAGACTCCTCCTGCGCACCAAGCCTTTTGCTGAAATGCCAGCACGCCTTTTCTTTGTTTATTTATTTATTTTTTTTTGTTTTTTTTTTTGTTTTTTTTTTTTTTTGGCTTTTTTTTTTTTTTTGTTTTTTTTTTTTTTTTTTTTGTTTTTTTTTTTTTTTTTTTTTTTTGTTGGGTAGCGCCGTCAGCCATTTTGGTCCGGTCGCATTGTTTATCCTAATAACTTGTCTGAATGACTCATTTTCGATTCTCAAGTTCGCTTGGGCGGTGTACTTGGGGTTTTACATGGGGCCACATGGGACCATGCAAGTAGAAAGGACATTTCTGAAACTGGGATTGTGTCATGGAATGCAGTTCCCTAAGGGAGGCAACGGGCGTCTGTCTACGGAGGTGACATCTTTTTTTACCTTCGAACTTGGAACTTCATTTATTTCCCATACGCGTTTCAAACGTCGGTGGTGTAGCTAGTTGGCAGTTTTTAACTTTTTGTGTTGTTGCAAGGGGCTGAGATCTGTAACGCGTATTTTGGTTCTCTTACCTGTCAGAATTGATTATCTTGATACTTTAAGTTTTTGCAATATGGGGTGTCTTTTTTTCTGGGTCGTCTTTTTTGTCATCTCTAGTGTCTCGTCCAATTTGAGTCGATGACGCATCTTGATTGCGTGTATACTTTATTTTTCCGTCAATGTGGCTCACTCATACGGAGTCATTCTGTCATACCTATTGTCGAGTTTGTCCTTTCTGGGAGTTCTTTCTTTCCGTGAACAAGTTTTTAAAAAGTACTAAAGTAGCCCTCCCAGGTGCTAGCGGTGTCTGCTCTTACCAGCACCACTAACACGGGGTTTTTATTTAAAAAAATAAAAAATAAAAAAACCTGAAAAAAGTAGTATATATCATAGTTGCGGCGCACCAGTGCGGGGCGGGGCGGTGCGCACTGCGCTGTGCGCTGGAACGACAGCGCTCGCACTGTGCGCCGTGCGGTGTGCGCAGTACGCAGTGCTGTCCGCTGTGCGTACTTGGGCTTGAGGCTGACTGCGACGACAGTCTGTAAGAGGAGGACCAGAGCGTCTTACAGGAGCATGAGGAACACGGACAAGAGAAGATGAAGAGAAGGAAACAGCGAAGATTACACACGTGTTGCAAAATTTAATCCAGAAAGAAAATTCTGAAAACACATGTTAGGCCTCGCCGCTCCGCTATCGACATGGGCCGGTTCATGTGTTGATGGCGCCTTGTCGGCACGGCTCTTTGCGAGGAATATCGAGGAGTTGATGTGGGCAATGGGGAGTACGGCGGCAGACGATGACGCGAGGTTCCATTGGT